CCTCCTCCTCCTCCTCCTCACCGCCGCCACCTCCTCCTCCCCCCGCCCGCCAGGAATTTCACTGCACTCCGGGCCGCGGCGCGCAGGCGCACTCCGGCCCGGCCGCCGGCCCTTCCGTGCCGCCATCTTGAGAGGGGTTGTGGGGCGGGGAGGCGGGGCGAGCCGTCTTTCGGCCGCCATGTTGAGAAGGTCCTCTTTTTCCCCCCCTCTCTTTTAAAGCCCTAGCCTGCAGGGGGGGAGGCAGAGAGCTACTGCTGAGGAGGACTTTCCTCTGGAGGGGCGTAGCGCGCCGTCCCTCCACAGCACGGTGGTTGTGCTGCTGGCTGCTTTCCTGGCTGCCTCTGTTTGGCACCTCAGTGAGGGCAGAGGGGCTTCTCCTGAGGGACAGCTGGCTGCTCGCTCTGAGAGACACGTCTTCCCTCAGTTACCACACTGCACAAGACTATTCAGATACAGGGCAGTAAGTAACAAAAGCTCTGTGGGCATTTTGTCCCTCCTCAAAGCCCTGCTTGCCCTTAGACTGCAGCCATCTCCGCAACCCAGTAAAATACACGAGTTTTTGAGGAGGAGCTAAAAAGAGCAGCTAAACAGAACAGGCTAAAAAGAGTTAGCAGCTGCTGGATGAAAGTCACTCATGCAGGATTGCTGCAAAATGTAGGAGATTTTTGTCTGTGGGTGTGATGGGGATGCTTGTGTGAGGGGGAGCGCGCTGCTGCGCTGAAGACGTGCCCAGGAAAGAGAAAGAGGTATAAAAGGCCTAAGTCAAACCCCATGTTGTGCTTGTGAGGTAAAGGGGCTCTCCTGCGTTAGTTTATCCCTGAAGGATGTAGGCTTGATTTTGGATCTCCAGCAAAAGCCTTCAGAAAAGGAGCTTTTGGAAGATGACTGCAAGTCTGAGGACAGGCACTGCTGAGAGGAAGAGCTAAAAATGAGGATAGTTTACCCCAAAGGGTTAAGTAAATGGCCAGGGAAGGACTGACAAAAATACAAATTGTCTGTATGTTCATGTGTTGACTGTGAAAAATATACTGTGATAAACAGGCGTGTGAGAGACTAAAATAAAAGGTATGGGCTGCTCTGCTCCTCTGCCATAGGCTTTGAGCATCCTGTTGGGTTCTCTGAGACTACATTTTAATTCTCAAGGAAATGCAGTTTCTGGCTAATTGTATGAACCGTTATTACCAGTGACAGAAAGTAGGAAACTCACTGCACTATTGCAGAAAGAAGTTACTACAAAGCGATTTATCCTGTATCGATTTGCAAAAATGTTCAAATCCTTTAGAAAAACAGCTCTCTTTGTACTACAAGGGGTTTATTTTGTTTGTGAACACCAAACTTGGCTTGCAATGAAGGAAAGAGAACTAGCCTATAAGAGAGATGTTTTTAGTTGGCAATGCTAAAGTCATTTCCCATGCTGCAATTTGGAAGGCCTAGTATAGTCTGAGAGTTTCATTACTGTGCTAGTACAATTAATCAGAATACTATTCCCAGGTATTCTTGCAGTTCTGATTAAATCTGTGTCCTCTTCGATGATTAAACTAGGATGATACAAGACATCCCACAGTGTATGCTACTATTACTGAAATTCATCTCATAAATGGTGTTCTTAGCCAAAGAAAGCCTTTGTGAAAGTCTTTCTCCTTTGTAGGTTGACTCTAATTCCTAAATGTATTTTGTATTTGTATTTTGTATTGCTTCAGTCAGGTTAATTCAATCTTAAAAAACAATCTATCCATTTAAACACAGAAGGCTATCATGTGCATTTTGTAAACTTATTATGCTAAGAGACAGTCACCCAGATTGGAATTCAAGCGTGGTGATGGGAAGTGACACTATTGTGGATGGTATTTCTCTTTCAGGAATAAAAAGTAGGCTTTGTTCACAATGTCAGTTAAGCCAGCACTAAATTCACTCACTCAACTTTCTGTACCTGATTCAGGCATGAGTACACATTTCTGACAGTTCTATTAATAGAGGACCTAACTACAGCATTGAAGACTGAAAGGTTATACGAAACAACTCTATTTCTATTACATTCTATTAATCAAAATCCTGAATTGTTCACCATTAGGTCGCTCGCTGGCAGTTATCTTACTTAAGAAGGGAAGTTTTCTATGGTCTCCTATGGCTTGTGTATGATTTTCCTTGTAAGGAACATAGGAGGCTGTGTGCTGGGAGAGAAAGGATATGGTTTAAGCTGGCACAGATGACCTGCATTCCTTTATTCTGGCAGCAGATTCAACCCTAGTTTCTAAAAGTAACGTGTGTTTCATTACAGGAAGCATTGGCAACTTAAAGTACTCTAACCTTGCTCTGTCAAATCACCTTGTGTGCCGCTGCAAAATGTAGAACATGGCTACTGCTGGTGAGGGCAGGTGTGTGACTGAGACATAAACTAGTTTAGTGTCTCCTTACACCAATAAAGACTCCGGTGGAATCCCATCATCAACATGAAGCCGTCATGCCGCAGCAGAGTGGGAACTCTGTTGGCTTACAGTTCACGTTGCCCGTCCTTAAACACAACAGGCTATCTGAAAAGAGGTAAAAGCCTTTCCCCTGGCTAGATGAAGTGATCTTCTGTTCTGTTAATATCTACTTTCTGTACTCCCTATGCACAAACACCTTATCCTACTGTTTGCTGAGGCAACATGCAGTACATTTTAGGAAAAGATCTCAAGATAGAAGAGATTGTTTTCTTAAATTTGTTTTACTGTCTCTGGCATGCAGCCTCTCTGCAACCGTCTCTCCCATTTCTGCATTAAATGGAAGGGCCATAAGAATTTAGATTACTTTCTCTTTCCTGAGACCATTTCTTGTATAATGACTGTTCAGATCTTACAGCCATTTGCTGTGGTCCTTACTGCATTAATCTTTTCCCTTGGCAAGGGTATATTATCATAATCATTCATCCTGTGGCTAGAATAGGAAATCCTGGAAGTTTTTCTGTCACCTTAAAAAGGATCAAGGTTTCACCGTTAGCATCTTACTTTGCTTGAATATGATGTCTTCTGTTTGACTTTCCCCCCCAATTCCCCATTCACAACACAAATCACAGACTCCACTAGTAGATAGATAGTTTCTGTTCAGTAGAGAGTCCTCCCACTGGATTCACGTTGTTAGCAACATCTGCTCCCCTACTTCAGCTTCTTGGCAAAAACAAAAAGCTGATGGTAAGATAGACATAGCTCCCTGTAACATGTTCTGCAATGTTAATCTTAATTTTACGTGCTAGAGTCAGTGAAGAGACGTTTTAAATGGGAGCAATGTGAGGTATCAGTTTTTAGGCTTAAAAAAAGTCCCCGTTAGGCAAACAGGGACCATTTATACGTCCATTATAACGTTTGCAGGCTTGAGTTTCTTGCAGTTTATATCTAGCAAACAAGTTGTTTTCTTAACAGTAAAGGCTAAGTATTTTTAAGGGCTTATATTCTGGATCCAAATTGTCACCAGGAAAAAGTATCAGTTTGCTGAGCTGTGGTGTGCCGGCCTACCCCCTTACACTTGTTTTTGCTGTGCATTCGCTGATACAGAAGTAGTTTGCTCTAAGGAGTCTCTCTTTGAATGAGCCTTGACTGAGTTTGCTTGTGAGTAGTAAAATCCAGATTACTTCTTCATCTATTGTATGCAAAGGTAACATTTGGCTACTGCCGTGGATGTGCATCATAAAGGCAAACGCTCTGAAAATTCCTTGTTAAGAGAGAATCTGGGAAAAAGGAGACAGCGATTCACTGTATTTCGTCTTCGATCCATAGCTCCCTGCTGGCTTGAATAAGAGCGTAACAAGGACTAAAAGCTGTTTTGTTTCCAATTAGGTATGACCTATAAATAAAGCAGGGGACTAAACCTGGGCTGAACACATCAGTCTGGCCAGAAGTATTTTGCCTAAGTTCAAGGCTATTCCTACATAACAAGTTCAAAAGTTTAACTGTTACTTAAATGTTGCTGGGCTCATGTTTCACTGGGAAGTGGGTGTGTGTGTGAAGAAGTGGGGTTTCCTGGAAAAAATGGACCAGTGAATCAGTAGCACGGCAAACAGAGAGAAACCTGGTACAGGAACTGCTGCAGCTGCTACAACACATCTCTTCAGAACATACCTCCCTGCAGAGTATGATGAAAATGTTTATATTTACTTGTATTGTAGCAATGTTTAGATTCTCCAACTAAGATCAGAGTCCCGCTGGGTTAACACTAATCCTTGATGATCTCCTGTAGAGGTAAGAATCTCCATTCTTCCGTAAGAGTCCAAATAGTTAGGATGGACATGTGTGGCAGTCCATGGTGCTAAAATGTCTTGCCCAAGATGCCAGAGCAAGCCTGTACTGGAGCCAGAAATAGGAGCTGGTCCCGACTTCCATTCCCTGATACATGAAACCACAATGGCTTTAATGTTCAAACCTCGCCATGTGTCTGTCTGTCATTCCTTAATAAATCCAGCAGTATTCCACCTAGGTCACTGACCACAGATAAAGGTTTCGGTTGTGGTGTGAAGTGTGGAAAATGATTGCTTGAGCCAGGGAGAGGTATGTAGAACAGATAAAGGTTTCGGTTGTGGTGTGAAGTGTGGAAAATGATTGCTTGAGCCAGGGAGAAGGTATGTAGATGTAGACTAAGTTGTTCACTGAAGGGTGACACCTAAAGAAAGTGCTTTAACATGACTTTTGGATAAGATTTCTGGTATGAATCAACCTTGACAGGAATGGTCATGGTAAAACAGTCTCTGGAACTGCAGGAAATCCTTATGGATTCTTATGGTGGTGTTGGCTCAGACTTTTGGCAGGAAGTCACTGTTTAAGACCTGGGTAAACCAGAATGACCTTGTTCTAAATTTTATTTGTATAAGCTTAAACTATTACTTAAACAGAGAGCATTCTCAGCTGGGAAACTGAGACTTTGCCTAGTCATTAATGTTAGAATCAGGGTAAAATGCTCACCTGAGAGGTGTTCACTTTACACAACATGGACATAATTTCTTCAGAATACATTGGATTTCTTCCCTCATTATTAGTGAGGAACAGTTGACTTCAAAATAAGACAGCAAACGAAAGCAGCAGAAATTAATGATTAAAGACTGGCTTGAATGCCAAAATAGTTATGGGAAGGGTTAAACTAAAATGAAAATTGCAATTTTCTAGCTCGTATTTCTAAAGAACTAAGTGTGGGAAATTTTTGCTTTGCTACCT